TTCCCTCGCACCCAGCAGGCCAGTGCGTGTGCTGAGGATGGGGTGCTGCAGGAGGATCGCCGTGCTGGTGGGTGACATTGGGTGGTTAGGTGTTGTGGGCTCGCGCTGTCCCTCATTCCTTCGTGCTTCCGCGCTGCAAAAAGTACCCCTCTGAACTCGCCTTGCGGTGCTGGGCAACTCAACGAGCAAACTCGGAGTTTTGTTGCTCTCTCATCATGGATTTGAAACCACGAGGTGTGCTCAGTGAAGGACTTGAGCTCATACATCTGCAAAACCTGCAGCCAGGGCTCTGGCAGCCGTGCAGAGAATCTCGCTCCGGGTGTTATTACCCTGGCTGTCCGCACAGCGCAACGTTCCTTGTCCCGGGCGACAGGGGGACCGATGGCATCCCGGTACCGCAGGCTTGCCAGGTCACAGGCTGGGGTGTTAGCACAAGCTGCGTTCGCTGGGGATTTAAATGTCAGGGCCACACTGGACTGCTGAGGCAGGGGATGTGCTGTGGGCTGCCGGTACTGCTGTGGGCAGCAGCAAACTCCAGCAGGCGAGGGGTAACATCTCAGCCCCCCGTCGCAGTCTGCTCGATGAACTCGACCAAGGGGAAATTTTGTGACTGGCTCTGCTTGGTCTTGCTTGTATTAGTGGGTGAGGCCACACAGCTGTGTGTGACCCGGCACCAAGAATTGTTCACGTGGGTTTGACATTTCTGGTGCAAGTGCAAAGCTGAGTTTATAACTGAATCTGCCCGAGTCTCTGTACCTTTTACATACGCAATCCGTGTTGACGGAACACTAATATGTATGAAGCATTTAAGAAGTAGGGGTCAAGTGTGGTTAAGTTTGCTTTCATGATCTTAGTTTGCTTCGTTGCATTTAGTTATGAGGTGGGGGTCTGAGTTCTTGCTTTCAACTCAAGGTGAGACCTGCTCAGGTGACATGTAGGGAATGAACTTTTCTTGACCGCAGCATCTTGTAGGAATTGGAAGGTGTGATGCAAATGGGTTGGGATTGCAGGGGAAAAGAAGGGCAACTTTCACCTAAGGCTACCCTGGATCCATGCAGTGGTCTAATGACATAAGCTGACTGAAAACTTGTGCAACACACTGATGGGTAAGGAAAGTGTGTGTGATTATCCGATCTCGCAAAGGAGGCAGTGGAGGGAGGGAGAGCAGAGCAGTGCTTTAAATGGCAGCCTGCAGTTAGACCAGATTTAATAAGATACTGTGAAATGGTACAATTAAATTATGTCCCTTCTTCCAAAGATGCTACTTGAGTCTAATCAGGTTATTTAGATCACTTGCGCTCCTGGTTATGAACTGCATGGAGGTTAATTTCTGAGCCTTGAGATTGATGGTGTGATTTACAAAAGTATTGCATGTTTAGGGCACGGTTACATGTGCATCTTTTCTTGATGGCAATTTTCTGGGCTATTTTTTCCTGCGTCTTTCCTGTTTGCAGACAGTTGAACAGCTGCGACTAGCAAAAGAAGAAGGTTAGAAGTGATCTTGAGACCCACGAACGATAGTACTCGTTTGAAGAAACGATGTTTAGTTAGGTAATGAATAGGGTGGGACATGGATGGATTGAGAGCGGCCTTGCTGCTGATGAAGCTTTCCATGAAACCAAGGCTGTAACCTGCCTTAGAGCAATCAAATTTTCCTCAGTGAGAAAGACAATACTTCAGACTTTGTAGGTTTCCATTTTTCTATCTACTCTTGAATTGAAATGAAAAAAAATAAATCACGTTATCCTGAACTCTTTGGAAATAGCTATAAGGTGCTAATCTAGATGGATTTCTTCGGTACTTGAACTGAAAATATATACACTGAATTGACCATGTCTTTGGTGATTGCAGTTACTAAACTACTTTATTTTCAGGTAACTATAGGCCGAGGATTAGATCTCACTTACCAGCTGGTGTCAAAAACCTGTCCCTTGATGATCTCTCGTAAGCACTGTGTTTTCCAGCAAAATGCAGAAGGGCAGTGGACTGTCAAGGATAACAAGGTACAGAGACTGATTAAAGACCTCGTACTCTGAGATTCACTGTGAAGAGAATACCCTGTTTGGGTTCAAACGATGTATGGGCTATGATATAATACGGTGTAAGTGTGGTAGAAGGTCCATTGGAACGTGTCTTGCCTGTTGTGTGCTTCCAGCAGGAAGCTTCAGTCTGCTGCCATTGGGATGCAAACCATATCGTTTTATGTAGCTTGTCTCTCTGTTTAGCACTTTCCAGATGAGTGTAGTCTTGCCAAGGGCACTCTGCAGTCTGTGAACCCAGGCTTGATTACTCTCATTAAAAAAAAAAAAACAAAAAAACAAAAAAACTATGAATTTTGGCAGTATTCAAGAGGATAATGTTCTTGTACTGCTAATGAAAGGAGAAACTGATACTCCTTATTGTAGTGACACAATTGCTTTAATTGTAATGTACTACAGTAAGAATCTGTTGTTAGAAAAAACATGCTTCATGTCATGTTAAAGTGAGTTTCTTCTGAAAGTCCTCCTCAGATGATTAGAATAAAGTGTTGACATTGGAGTCCTCAGCTATGCCTCACTTTGACTTCAGGAATCTGGTTTTTATATTATGATCTCTCCACTTTCTCATTCAGGCTGAAAACTAAAATCAGTAATTTGCTTTAAAACAGCGCTGGTAGAAGAAAACCATTCAGCATGTCGTGCAGATCTGAGGCTGTTTGGGTCAACAGCAGATTGGTCAGAAGGAATGGAGTGGCTACTATTAAAATTACACTGCTCTTAAAACTTTGTTGCAGGACTTGTATAAACTCGAAACCTACAGCTTTTGCATGACTGGAAGCATCTGTGGTAGATCCAGCTACTAATGCTTCCTCTGTGTTATCACTGCTACCCTTTTGTCAAGTTGTTTTATTGAATCTCTCTGAGATATGTCAGTTGTTAATGATTCTGTGTTTGTCTTGACAAGGATCAGTTTTGCTGTTTTTCAAAGGTATTTATTGAGCTAGTGTCTAATTTAAAAACCCTTTTTCTGCTTTGAACATCATCTCTAGAAGAACATTTTCCGTCTTGTTTATATTGTCCCTGTAATTATGGAAAACTGTCTTTTTTTTTTTTCTTTAAGCAGTATAAGCTATGCTCCTTTTTCCTTTCTAGTTTCTTCTTGAATTTCGGGTGACATTAATTGTCAGGAATAATTACTGCAATATTCTATGTTCTTGATAATGATCTATTGCAGAGTCTTTTTATTGGTTAGTTCTTATTTCTGAAGCTTTTGGGCAGTTTTCTCACCTGTAGCGTTCATTCTTTTCCTTCTGCACAAGCACGTGTATTAATGTTCTTCTTGTGCTTGTATGCAAAATCTGTAATGCCTGGTAAATAATACAATGCAATAACTAATAAATGGGACACCAAGCCAATAAATTGGATATCGCAAGGTTTATTTAAAGAGGTGGCTTGTTCTGATTGCAACATTGAAGAGGTTGGATATGTTTACAGGTGCCAGAAATAGCTTGCCTAGGACTCTGTAACTGCGTATTAAATGTTGCTGATTCTCCGTTCATTTGCAGAGTCTAAATGGAGTCTGGCTTAACAAACAGCGCCTGGATCCCTCAAAAGCTTATCCTATCACTGAGGGAGACCGTATCCAGTTGGGAGTGCCTTTGGAAAACAAAGAGGCTGCTGAATATGAGTATGAAGTAATTAAAGAGGAATTGGAGAAAATCAGACCCTTTTTAGCCCAAAGGAATGACCTGGGGAAAGCTAAGAGTTCAAGAACTAAACGTAAGTTTAGTTTGGAGGAATCAGAGACATCTGGGTCAGAAGGCCCTTCAAACTCCAGATCTAAAAGAGACAGAGTGTCCTGTGACAATGAACCTTTGAGTAAATCATGTGGAAGGGTAGAAGAGGCCAAACAGTTAACAGAGAAGATGGATGTCAAGCTCCCTTCTCCTGGACCAAGTGAGGAGGATAATGGTCCAGTGCGTAGTAGCCCTGTGTGCTCTGAGAAAGCTGTGTCTGTCCCTCCTAAGGACCAGAAGGGCTCTGGTCTTGCACAGTCATGGACTGGTTTGGAAATGCTGAGGAAAACTCTGGTAGATATAATGAAGCTAAAGGTCAAAGTGCAGGAGAAGCAGACAGCGGTTCTGAATGTGAAGCAGAGGCGCAGGAAGTGTGCTCAGAAGGAGATCCTGGTGATGGAGCAGGAGCTGCGGGAGTTGCAGGACCAGCTGTGCATGGAACAAGAGCATCATCAGCAGCAGGTGGAAGAGCTGGAGAGGATGTTCTCTAAAGAGCAGCAGCAGCTAGAGGTATAATGGTGGTAACCTTTTTGGCCTGTGTCTTTTCATTTTTATGGAACGCCTGATACAAGACGTTTATCTGAGATAAGATCTTGAACCATGCAGTGACACAAATGTTTGTGTGAATTACTCCTGTTAAAACTGTCATGGAAGTATTTAACTTCCAGGCATGTGTACCAAAAGAGAATGCAGACAGAAGGGATTGGGCTACATGGAGAATTAGGAAAAAGGTGCAAAATAATTTAAATTTTTTTTTTTTTTTTACAAACAGGTTCATTATAGCAAGGTAGTAAAGCATTTCAGTTAGTAAAAAAGCGTGGTTTTAAATAAAAAAAAATCAAAACTGTTGTACATGCATAACACTAGAGTGGAACATCTCAGGGTCTGCTGAAAACTGGTGTTGTTTCTTTAAGCATATCTTCTAAAGATGCAAAGTACTCATTTTCTGTCTCTGCTTTCTTCAAGTCTCTCTTTTTTTATTTTTTTTTTTTCTTTCTTTCTTTACTTCTCCCCCAGGGAGTAAAGTGGCAACACGGGGAAGAGAATCTGAAGGAGCAGCTGGCCCAGGTCCTGCAAGAGGCAAGTAGTTAGGAGTCTAGGTTTGGTCTAACTGTGTAACTCCAATATTTAAATCTTCCTTACTGCTGTGGCCTCTTGGTAGAAGATGAGGACTTTGCCTTAGGTGCAGGTTGGATTATCTTCTTCTACAGATGAAATTTCTGTCAGAAAGTGTCAGACCTTGCTTTGTGGGAGTTGCTACTTGCCAGCAAATATTGTGAGAATACGCGCTCAGATTGAAAGCATTAAGTAGCTGCAGTGGTTTTGGTTTTTTTTTAATTTGAATTTGGTCCTTGGGCTGGTGGGCTTTTTGGTGAGGTCTGTCTGCTGGGTATCTGTTCTAGGGAAGTTGTTTTGGCAGTTTTAACCAGTCGAAAAGAAAAAATCACTCTTGGTTAGGAATGTTTTTGAAAGAGTTTGCCACACACTCAGGTTTCCTAGGCTTATTCCAAAAGGTCTTTCCTTTTGGAAAGTTGATCTGAAAACAGCTTCAGGCAACCTTGAGTATAGTGGCTTGTTTTTGTGATCCTTACGTGTCAAATACCTCTTGATACTTAAATGTTCGCAGATGTGCTCAAAATGGTGACCATAAAACCTAACTGAAATGGAAAGAGTAACCTGGGAGAGGGAATGAGAAGTGCCATGGCACTGGGAAGGTCATAAATAACAGGCACTGCATTCCAATTTTAAGTTAAGGCTAAACTGCCTTGTCACCCCAACTCATATAGGCATGTGTTGCTCTTTTTAGGAGGAGATTAGGAGAAATGAGTATGCTGAACTTCATGATTATAGCCACGTAGATTTAATAGGATAGCTTATAATGGCACTCTTACAGTTTCTGGGGTGGTATTGTTACAGCATCATGCTTTGATGGAAGAACTGAGCCGTAGTAAAAAAGACTTTGAGGAGATAATTCGAGCCAAGAATAAAGAGCTGGAAGAAACCAAGGTAAGGAATAACGGAGTTGTCAGTTTTATTCATAAGTGAAACATGATATGCTACAGTAGAGGAAATGGTTTATTTAACATTTGTCTTGACTGTACTTTGCCTCCCATAGTGAAAAACTCCTGTATTTTGAGGTGGCAGCTGACTCTTGTTTCCAGGGTTGGGAGAGGATATACCTTGCCCTGTTCATAAATTAGTGTTGAACAGTCATTAATAGATCTTTCTCAATCATAAAGAAAGCCCAGAGCACCTGAACAGGAGAAGTGGGCCCATTCCACCCCTTCTTTAAAAAAAAAAAAAAAAAAAAAAAAAAAAGTGTTTGAATATTGGGGTGCTTCATTTTCAGTTAGAGTGCATTCATGTAAAACTGCAGCGTTCCAGCAGTCCTGCAAGGGAGTGTAGGACTGAAACAAGATGGAATTTGAATAATGAATGAGATAAGCCACATTTCTTCCTGCCCTTGGCATAAGGTGATGAATGGAAAATAATTAAGGAGAGCCTTTCCTGTGTCTTACTCTTGGAAATTATCACATTATCCACCTCTGGCTGTTTGCTTTATGATGTTGGGTTTTTTTTTTTGTCACTTTTGCAACTCTGTTGCTGTTTCAAGCATAGCTTCAGTTGGAAGAATTTCTCTGGTATTTTTAGAAGATAGAGCAGGTACCTAGGAGCCTAATTCAACTCCAAACAAAAAAGAAAAAAAAATTATTGGGCAGTTAAATGTTTTAAATTCTTATGCTTCCATTTTTAATATTTGAGGTATTTTGTCTGTTGGGTGTTTTGCTCTTTACATCAGGCATCAAAAGAACTGTTCTGTTGACTTATGCCAAACTCATGTTAGGAAGAGGTTGAAAGAGATTCTGAAAAGACTGATCCAGCTGGTAGTTTCTTTAGGCTGAAGGGAATTTTGGTAACAGCTGCTGTTCTTGCTTGTAAGTTCTCTACAGTGGGTGGGAATATTCTTAATACTGCCGTGACTACATAGAGGAAAGAGGTTACAGATCTGGGTATATAATAGACACAGACTTGACGTGGAGATTTGCTGATCTATGATTTTCTACTTGTACTGCCTTCCCCTGCAGTCGCGCTTCCTGCCAATATTATATTGAGTAAAACCTTGTTCTTTGCTGATTTGTGACCGTATGTACTTTTCCACTAGGAGGAGAAGGAAAAGGTGAGAGCCCAAAAAGAAGAGGTGTTGAATCAGATGAATGATGTGTTGGAGAATGAGTTGCAGTGCACAATCTGTTCTGAGCACTTTATCGAGGTATGTTTAAATCAGTATGGGTTTGCCAGTAAAGAAGAGACTTGAGAAGCGTTCCCTAGTCATATTAAAGCAATAGTCAAGCTTATTTCTTTACTTTGCTAGTTTAACAGTCCCAACAGACCCAGAGAGTTGTGGGTAAGGGTTAGTCCAGAAATCTATTCCGTCTGCCCTAACTCTTCTTCTGGGCAGCAAGTTCAGCTTTAACATTTCTACGCTGCATAGAGATGAGTGCATAATCCTAAAATGCATATAGGCTTGCAGCAGTTTTGGGTGGTTTTGAATTGGTGCTCTGAGCTGCTGCTGACAGACTGCTTGGGGAAGAATAATTTTGTAGTGGACCTTGCTTTAAGTTGACTAGGGTTGGTTTGCTTCAGGTTTAGATATAGGAAGAGGTTAGTAAAGGAAGGGAAGTGCGGCATTCAGTCAAGTCCTGAGCCATTTATGTTGTTCACATAAACTCTTTCTTTGAGAAATTGGCCTGCTTTCATTTGATTCTAGAAGTGATAGGCTATGCCTGAAATGCAGACTGTTATTTCTGTTTTGTGTTTTGTAAGGACTTCAGTTCCATTCCATTCATTTCAACTAAAGGAAACCTGATGCGTTAGCCTTGTTATAACGACCTAAGAGCCAGCTGAAATTTTAATTCCTGGTTTCACTGTAATTTAAGATGCTATTTTGCAGTATCTGAGTTTTTCCATAATCTATCCTTTTCAAATTGGGGAAACTTACAATAGAATTAATTCTTTTTGTCTGTGTTTCTGACTTGCTATGATCTACAGTGAATTCATTAACCAACTTGTAAAACTTGTCTGTACTCTGGTACAGGAGGGTTTTTGTGGGTAACCCCTACAAAGGCTAGAGAAAAGGGGCTTTGGGCTTCTCCTCCTCTTCCCTTACAGGAAGCATTCATCTAATGTTTTTCTGACTTCAGTGTTTTTTTTCTTGATCATGCTTGTGCGAGCGTGCTCTGATCAGTATCTTTCCATCAAATTCCACAGGCGGTCACTCTGAACTGTGCACACAGCTTCTGCTCCTACTGTATCAATGAGTGGACGAAACGTAAAGTGGAGTGCCCTATCTGCAGGCAGGAGATCAAATCAAAGACGCGCTCTCTGGTGCTGGATAACTGCATTGACAGGATGGTAGAAAAACTGGATGTAGAAATGAAAGAGCATCGCCTGACCCTTATCAGAGAGCGGAAAGGTGAGAGGTGGGTGGATGTGGCATGATAAGTACAATCTCTCATTCCCATCTATTTTGTACAACTTTCTTTGGCACCTATATACCAAGGCGATGCTCGGGGAATGCAGCAGAAACACTAGAAAATTAATGTTAAGATATGTTGTGAAACTAGCGTTATTGCCTAGAAAAATAAAATGAATCAAAAGTTTGGAAATAGACTTTGGTATGAATTCCACAGTTGAGTGGGACAACTTAACCATGCTGTTTCAAAGACATCACCAAATAAAAGGAAAGCTATATAGAATGGCCCTTGAAAAATTTATCAGGCACCTTTTGATTAAACTATTGATTGCATTGTTGCAAAAACTCAGCAGAGCAGTGTCTGATGAGAAACTCCGAATTCTCTTCTGTGTGCTAGATTTGTGTAGGAAGTCTCTGAAGGGAATGTTGGTCTGTCACGTAAGGGTATGGCTGAACTGGCAGTTGCTCGGCCATGTTAATTTTGTGGAACTGAAGACACTGTGGCTTAAATGCATAACCTCTTGTCTAGTTGTAGCTAAAAGACACTGCAGCATGACAGTGATGGCTTTAGGTAAAACTCCAGCATGGGGTATTCCTATTCTGCTTCTCTCTTCCAAATTTGTTTCTAGAGCACTCGACACTGGTATCTAGGTGCTGAAATGTAGAAGTCTTTTCCTGCTACCCCTTAACAAATTTCTGTTGCTGTGTTCCCTTAAGTAACTGTCTTGTTTTCCCCTCATAGAGGTGAGTGCATGCTTCTTTGTTTTGCAATGTGTCAAGCCTTTTACCTAATGAAAGGTGCTTTTGAAATGTTTTGAATTCTTTGTTCTTCAGACACAGAATGACTACGCTAAGCACTGTTAGTTCAAACCTGAAATTATAACCTACTTAACCAACTCACTCTGATTCCCTCAGGAAATGCTACACTGCTCAGAGGCTGCCCAGTTTGCCTTTGTGAATTGGTTTCACCTCTGCAGAACTGACACTGCTCTTGTGTAATATGCGTGCCTGCAGAGTATGCCATAGCATTATCAAAGTGTCTCATCAGGTAGCTAATGGTGATTAGAGGAAGTGGTGCCTTCATTGAAGCCCACTTCATTTCTGAATGGTAAACCTTCTTGCTTGTCTTTGTGCTTGTTTGAATAAAAAGGAAATAAGCTCATGGCCTACCTTCATGTGATAGATGCTCTAATTATAAAAGTGACTATTAGTAGGAAATCATTCAGCTTCACCATGACACACTTCAGGAGGAGGGATGAATTGTTTCTGTGCAGCCTTTTTATTCAGTTTGGTTGAGACTAAGATAACCATGTGTTTGTTTGAACATGAATTCCTAAGAAGAAACCAGCTGGAAGAGAAATAATGATTCAAGTGGAACTTGAGAAGCTCAGTCAGAGCTTCCCAAGAAGCCTTTCCAAGAGCCTTAACAGAATGGGCACCAGTAGGACAGCCTGCACCCTTAAATGTCTGGAGGTTTTGATGGGGCTGTAAGCGTTCCTGAACAACCATTATTTGTTTGAGAGCTCCTTACCACATTTTGTTCCTTCCTCTTCCTTTCCTGGCAAAGGCACCGTAATAGTTACCCACTTCCATTGCCAGTTGTGTGCCAGTGAAGGGATGGGGAATGTCTCCTCCTCATCTGTGCTGTCTTAACAGGAAAAGGCATGTAAGAAACTAAAGAAAACCAGCAAACAAAAAAACCTCAACCCTTTGTTCTTTCAGTGATGAAAATGCAAAGGAAAAAGGCCTGCGCCCTGCAGCTTGAAAGGCCTATTGCAAACTGACAGTGAGAGGCTATAACTTTCAAAGAGAACTAGGAATTTAGCGTTTGGGGGTACAGTGGTTGCTGCTAACTTTCGTGTCTGTGTGTTTTGAATGCAGAGAAACAGAATGTGTTGGTGAAACCAGCCACAGACAATGACAGCTGTGCCATTTCTTCCATCTACTCCATCTTGTCAATGAGCAGTTGTCACAATGAGGACTCTGAGGAGGATTCTTACTACAATGAAAGCTACTAAAGCTACTAAAAGCTTATCTAAACACTGTTACTGCAGACTCGTTTGTCTGTGTGCTGCCCAGAACCAACCTGATGGCGTTTGGTTGACTCCTGCTGGATGAGTGGACTGGACGCCTGGAAGGAGAGACTCTGTGAAGAAGCCGGAGCTGAGAACTAGCAGCATTTGGAAGAAGGACCTTATTTTTTAAATGAATGTACAGAAGCTTGATCTTCAAAACAAAATCGGGATTGTGAGAGAACAAACTGCCGTTATGCTAGATGGTTGACATACAAAACCTAGGCTTCCATGATCGCTTGTGACCGGCTCGGTGTAATGTAACAGTTTGTAGGTGTCGCTGCCCTTTCCTTAGTGAATGACATGTTTAAATGTGTACATCAGCTTCCCTTATTTCAGGCAGCAGAGGGAGTGGCCCAAGTTATTTGAGAACTTTGCCATCCCCACCAGCAGGCAGGAGAGGTACGTCAGGAAAAAGTGCCAACGTGGGTTTTCCTCTTGAATTTCGTATGGCAGCTAGAGTCATCCCAGGCCTCTGGCAGTAAAGGTAACAAAGGGTGGGTTGTGGACCCTCTCAGCCTTAAGTGCTTAAATGCATTGTAAGCTGGGCTGCTGGCCATCTATTTGCTCTGTTGATGTTACTCATTTTCTGTTAGATAGGGATGGAGAAGATTATATCTTCCAGAACTCCTTAGCTAGTACTCTTTTCATACAGTATCTTTGCTTTGTTCCTTCTTCAGGCTTTTGCATAAAGGGTTTTAGGATTGGGAAACCAGTGCATCCAGAAGTTACTAGCAACAACTTCAGAAATACATGTAGTTCTTGTCAGCACCAGAGAGGAGCTTCTGCCTCTTCAGCAGCGCTGCCCTCTGAATTGGTGAAATGTCCTGTTGGCAGGGTAGGAAAGCAGCGTCTGTGGGCAGCCACAAGGCACAGAAGGATGCAGTTAGTTTTATTGTTTACAAAACACTGCTGTTGAGCCGTGGGTTGTACTACCCTCACAGCAAATCACTCGTCCCCGAGAGACTGAGCAAGTCTTGCCTCATCCTTTCATGAATTTGTCTATGAAGTTCCACTTTCAGTGGCATTTGCTTCTGACTTAGTTGTTACATGGAAGGGACTGTATTACGCTGAGAAGAGGATGGGAGAAGCCCTTCTCACCTGTAATATTTCTTTGGCTATTTGTATGTGCTTTCTTGTTTCTATGTTTATTTCATTTAAGAAGGAAAATATAAATCCCTTTCTGCATTAGTCTTCCTTGGTGCAGCTGCTGAGATGAATGTCTCTCTCCTAATTGTCTTAGATTCTTTTGAGAAAACAGACTCTCATTTTAATGACTTTGCTTCATGTTTTGATTGCTGTAAGCAGTGTGACTATTTTAAAGTTATTTGAAAGACGTGTATTCAGGAATTGGTAAAAGACAACCCAACTCTTCAAGCCTGTGGCTACCCCGACAGTAATTTAGTAGATACAATCATACCGCTTATCTTCTTCCACTAAAGAACGATCCCATTAAAAAGGCGCATGAATGATGATGCTCTCCTAAGGAAGTAGTGCATTCTGACAGATTTGATTGGTAGGACTTAAACAGGGGAGGTAGGTCTGATCTGTGGGCCAGGCAACTTTCTTAAAATCTTAGTGTAAGGTTTCTTTTTTGAAGGAGTCATTACATCTCGAGTTTTCCCCTTTTCATGTTAATTCTCTATATAGGCTCTTGAAAGTTTCTTTTATAAATATATGCTCTCTAGGATGTCTGAGAGAAAAGGGTTCCTCAAAATGCTTGTGAAATAGGCTGACACTGGAACAGGCATTCCT